AACTTTTGGATTGTGATTAAGTTAAGATTGTGATTAGGAATAAGTAATTTATAATGAAAAAAATTTTCTAATATGAAAACATGTCGATTAATGTTGTTCTATGCCCACAGTGCCATACATATATATATATATATATATATATATATATATATATATATATATATATATATATATATATATATATATATACATTTGTTCTCGCCGAGGCCTATATATATATATATATATATATATATATATATATATATATATATATATATATATATATATATATATATATATATATATATATATATATATGTATGTATGGCATAGAACAACATTAATCGACATGTTTTCATATTAGAAATTTTTTTCATTATATATATATATATATATATATATATATATATATATATATATATATGTATGGCACCGATTTAATAGTCCGATTCTAAAGGTGAAAACAGGTTTGATGTACTCTTTAACATTTTGAAAATCTCTAAAAAAAAAAAATGGAAAAAAGTGAAAATTACTATAAAAAAATTTTTGTATATTTAAAAGAGAGCTCTTATCCAGCTGGCTTTTAAAAAAATGAAAAACGAAGTCTGAGAAATGTGTCAAAAAGTTACTGTGTGCTAGGTATTGGTAATAAAAAACCAGGCAATTATTTCATTGAAATGGAAAGTATGTTTGCTAAATGTTTTATAATTTTAGATAAAAAGTTGAAGCGTAAAGTGAAGATTTGTGGAGACTTTTGTTATGCGGATATTGTTGTGGATGTCCAAGAACAAAAAAAAGTTTTTGATGCAGAGCATAACAGTCCTTTATGGGACCATGGTGGCACTAACAAAACAATTATAAAGATGCTGGAAAAATATTATTGGCCTAATATTACCAGAGATATTAAAAAATGGGTAAAGTATTTTGCTTATAAATTAATGCATTTGCATACATTATTTATCTACTTTATCATTGGAGTAGAATTGTGAAACTACTACCGTCTATTTTAGTAGGTTAACATAAAAGTTTAAAAAAGAAATAAAGACATAATTATTTCCGTAGATAAAACAACGACTTCGATGTCAAACTTCGGGTCAACTGCTTTCAGTATCCGAACCTTTGCATTCCATAAAGGTAACTTCATAAAGTGTTTTTAAACAACTTTCTAAAAATACCAATTTTTTATTTAGTATATTATACGAATTTATACATATCATGTTTACTTTCTTATGTTGCATTATGTTTAAACATCTTGTTTAGACAACAAGAGTATGGGAAATTATTGGTATAGACTTTGCTGGCCCATTTATTGAAACATCAAAGGGTAACAAATACTTCATGAGTTGTACTGATTTATTTTCTAAATGGCCTAAAGCATACGCTTTACCGAATAAGGAAGCAATAACAGTAGCAAGAGCAATAATAAAACTCGTGACAACCTTTGGATTTCCATCTGTTATTCTTACTGACAATGGAACTGACTTTTGCAATGAGATATTTGTTATATACATTGGTCTTCTGCAAGGTTTTTGTTTTCTGTAAACAATGATGATACAAAACGGTCTAAATTAATGTAGACGTGTAGAAACAAATAATTTAATGGAATTCTACTAGTGTAGTTAAACTCTTTGTGGGTAAATCAGAATAAAACCTGTTGATTTTCTTTGTAACGCATAATAGGGGTACTTTTTTTTATTATTTAAGTGGGAAAGTGAAAATGACCCTACCCCCAGTCAAACTGGGATGAGTATCTTGACATAGTTTTGTATCCCTTACGTATTGAAAGGCAAACTTCTACAAAAGTGTCACCTTTTGAGTTAATGTTTGATGGTCGTTCACCTGTTTGCATGAGTGAGTTTAAAGAAGTAAGTATATTTGTGAAAAAATATGTTCAGCAATCACCTTTATTTTATAGATATAACTTGACATTGTACCCCATATTCACTATACCCATGAAAAGCAAACTTTTTTTATTTAGGAGATCAGTATATTTACTGCAAATGAAGATGACGTAATGGCTAAAGTCGAAAAAAAAAAACATATTGAAAACTTAACTAATATAGTCACTAAGGTAATTGCTGCTGCCACTTAAATTTAAAAATCTAATTTTTGAGATCTAATCTTTAATCCTCCATTTGTTTGAATTCTTTTATTCTAATTACTATACTTATAAATTTTAGAACATTGAAGAAGCTCAAACAAAAAAGTACTATGATATAAGAGTTTCGAAAAATATCAAATGTAACGAAGAAAGTAATAATATTGGAGACAAAATTTTACTTCTTGATATTAGAGGAAAAAGAAGCGTAGTTGTATTACAAAAAGTGGAGATTTCAAACTGAGTAGAGGAAAAGTTACACTACTGAAGTATAAGTTTTCGAATAGCTAATATCATTTTTAATTCCAAGAAGAAAGTAGTTTTATAAAAATAATTGCTATATAACGAACTATTTCTAATTTAACCCTTGTATACTCTACTTTAAATATAATTATAACAAAAAACGAAGTAGAAATTGAAAAAAAAAAAACATTCATTGGTGGAAAGCATAAACGGTAACTTGTATTTTGTAACTGATTCCTTTTATATTTTTAATTTATGGTCTATGAAAACAATTTTTATTGAATTTTAATTTATACTGGGGTTTTCTTATTTTAATTTATAGTCAAAACATATATTTTTTCATTACTTTATTTTATGGTTTATTTTCAAGATAAGGCAGAGACACCAATAAAAAGCTTTGAAATTAAAGATAGTGAAGGTATGTATTAAAAACTTATCTATTCACTTGTTATTCTTAGCTTTTTATTTCATTTATAATTTATTTTCTAGAGGAGGCAGATAATTATATGAAAAGCTTTTCAGTTAAAGACAGTGAAGGTATATAATAATAAATTACTTTTACAATTACTTTTTGTTAGTGTTACCTTTTTATTGTAATTTATTGTTTTTTTTTAGAGGTGGCAGATACAAAAAAAAGTTTCGTAATAAAAGATGGTAAAAGTAGGATTTAAAAAATTTCTTTTTCATTTATAAATGTTAGCGTTTTATTTTAAAGTATCGCTTGTTTTTTAGAGAATGCAGAGAAACCAATCCCCTTTGTAGTTGAAGATAGTGAAGGTGTGTATTAAAAACTTACCTATTCATTTATAATTGTTAGCGTTTTATTTTAGTTGTAATTTATTTTTTAGAAGAGGCAGATAATCAGATAAAAAGCTCGGTAGTTAAAGACAGTGAAGGTATTTAATAATAAATTATCTTTATATTTTGTTAGTGTTAGCTTTTTATTTTAATGTATGGTTTTTTTCTAGAGGTGGCAAGTATTGCATGTTTTTTAGAGAAGGCAGAGACAAAAAAAAACTTTTCAGATAAAGACAGTAAAGGTATGTATTAAAAACTTACCTATTCATTTATAATTGTTAGCGTTTTATTTTCATTTGTTTTTATTTATTTTAATTTTCTAGAGATAGTAAATATAAGAAAAAGCTGCATGGTTGAAGATGCAGAAGGTATGTATTATTTATTGGCGCACCAGTAAAATAAAGATTTTTATGTAAACCTATTTTTTTTTTTTATTATTTTAATTCACCTCCTCAAGGCCGAGAAGGCCACTACAGACGAAGAGGCTACTTATTTGTGGCTATTACCCTCTCTCAACTCTATAACTCCGAAACACGAACCTTGACGAACAAGGCCGCTGCGCGGAGAAATGAGTTGAGCGCGGTACTACCAGGGACGTGGTGGGGATCGAACTCGGAACCACTCGTTTATGAAGCGAGTGCTCTACCACTACACCACTACCGCATTTAAATAATTAAATTAATATTATCCCACCTGGTGAAAAAAAAGCGTAGAATTTTAAAACATGTAATCTTTAATAAATGCAATAGTCATTACATTAGCAGATGAAAGGTTTATGCTTAAATTTTGATGAAATTATGCTTAAATTGCATTTCATAAATATTTCACCGAATAATAAAATGTCTCCGTATTATAAACTCGGTAAAAGTCATTATAGGTATATATCCAGATATAGGTGGCTGCAAGGTATAAGATTATTCCTTACAAGATACTTTAAACGAATGCCTCAGTGACGAAGTTGTTTATATTTATCTCAAAATATTAGTAAACAGTAAGGAAAAGGTATAATTAATTAATGTACTTCATAATAAAATTTTTGTACAAACAAGCAATATTGCATTTTTTTTAAATTCATTTTCATTTAAATAAAATTTTAATTCTAAATATAAAACAATATATTGAACGCCATTCCATTTATTGATGCTTTGAAAAATCGAATCGAAGTACTGTCGCCAGCTGGGCTTCTCTCACTGGATGAATTGCCAATTAAAACTGATTTAATACGAAGAAGGCATAAGGTATTAAAAAACTTTTATTTAAAAAAGTTAATGACTCATTAATTTAATCCCAGTGGGGAAAAAAGACGTCGAAAAGACGTCTTTAAAAGTCTTATTTACGATGTCTTTAAGACGTCTTTTTTTAGTCGATTATGCAAATCTAAAAGACATCTTTTTTTGACATTGAAAAGACGTCTTTTTTTGTCTTTATCTTGTCATAAAAAGACATGAAAAATGCGACTTTTAGACGTTTATATTTAGTCGATTATGCAAATCTAAAAAACATCTTTTTTCGACATAGAAAAGATGTCTTTTTTGTCTTTAGCTTGTCATGATAAGGTATAAAAAATGCGTTAATCGTATTTGCTAATCATAATTAACAAATTATACACATCTAAAAAAGTTTTTCTTCTTGGCGTCGGAAGGTGCCAAGAAAAAAACCTCTTTTAGAAGTCAATATAAAAAAGGAAGCATTTTCTTTATCTTTTATAGGTTTAAACATAGGAGAACTATTTATAAATAAAACAGCAGTATTGTTAAGCAGAATATATTAATTAAATTAAGAGTTAAATGAATTAAGTTAAATTAAGTTAAACAAATTAAGAGTATTAAGAGTCATCAGCAGATTCATCTCCAAATTCCACATTATTTTCAACTTCCTCTTTTTCCTCTGTTTCTTGAGCTTTCTCCTCTGTTTCTTGGCGTTGCCTACGCAACCCCCCGATTTGATCAGGGGCGTTCTTAAATTGGGACAGAAGTCCAACGGTAAACAGTCTAAAAATATAATAAATGAGTATGCTAAAGAAATTTATTATTATCAAAATGAATGTACAACGATGTATTATATTATGTAGTACTTAAAGCAAAATAAGCATTTGCACCTCTCAGATTTGCTATGAAAGACAAGTTATCAAAAACAGATGTTGATATTTTTCTTGTCTTCTATGACGTAACTTTTTAATTTAATTTCGTTGAAATTAAGTGTTGTAGACCCATAACAAATTAAAAATCCGTTATTGACTAAGGACTATCAAAAACGAAACGATATTTCAGCTGATACACCTTGATAGTTGTTATTTATTTAAACTAGATAAACCTATTGTTCAAAGCTCAATTTTAGCCTGAAATATAATGATGCTTTACCTAACAACATAAAATTATAAAAACAGGCGATATCATTATCAACACAGATGAATCACACATAAACAAAAATAAAGACTAGAAAGCTGCAAGGTTCTTTAACTAAAAGAAAGTGTACCTTTCCAGTATCAATATTACTTGGTCTTTCGCATCCAAACCACGGACTTGACGTAAAGATTTTCTGTGAAAGATAACACAATAATAAGTAATATAGCAACGATGTTTAAAAACAGCTTTCTGGTTATAGTGAGGTTCTCTCACCTTATAAAATTTTATTACTAAAATCACAAGATATTGGAAAATGCACAACTTTTCAATCTTGTTTGAATACCAAAATACTAGACATAAAAAAATATATAACAAATACCAAGATTGAACGTTTCTGTTCGTCTAACAACTCTCTTTCAAAGGCATTAAAATCTTCCATCGTTGCCATCATTTTTATTGCATGGTTATCCTTTTCTTCAGTTGGCCAACAACAATTTACAACGTTTTCTTTTATCTCCCACAAGAGACCAAGTGACAGTTTCTGGTACTCTGAAACGGATTAAGATAAAAAATCTTGTGCAATTAAAAACTCTTGTAGAAGCCTTGATTTATTTTTTTAAATTCTATAGTTCTCCTTTCTAGCATTTAAAATAAGAAACCTATTCAACACATTTTACACAGGAATAATTTTTGAAAGGATTTTTATTTTCAAAGTTCAACTAAATAAGAATTCCATTGAATTTCTGTGAAAAGAAAAAAAGAGTCAAAAATAAATATCAAATGTAAAAAACTAGACCTTAAAATAACCTTACCAGCATCGCTTAGTGGAAACCGTAGCTTCTCAAAGGGATCTAAAAATGATTATATGCAGATATAAATTATCACTGAAAAGGATCAAGTTATTTACAGAAATATTATTAAACAGTTTCTACTTATTTCAAGCTTTCTATGCAGCATGGTAATATACTTTAAATAAAAAAATATTAAGATATATCATTCGATTTGCCGCTAAAAATTATTATACCTAAAACATGCGTCCTTTAACGTAGTGCTTATTTGATTAATCTAAATCGTTCACATTGTTGAAATTAAACAAACATCTTATATAAAAGCACTATCCTTGAGTCCTACAGCTGCAAAATGGTTAGATGCGCTACGCTAAAACTTGAGTCATTTAGCAGTTTTCTTCCAAGTTTTTTGTGTGTTAATAGGTGCCTCTTTTCAGAAGTTCAAACTTGACAATGTACACATTTTGATACCTTAAATAAATACTGCTTAAGTTGATCCTTAGCAGCAACAGTTATATATATACATATAATATATATATACATATAATATATATACATATAATATATATATTAAAAATAGCTTTCTGTTACATATACATATACAATTATATATATATGTTACATATTTATATACAATTACATATATATATGTAATTAAGATAAAAAATCTTGTAAATTATATACATATACAATTAAATTATATACATATACAATTTTATATATATATATATATATATATATATATATATATATATATATATATATATATATATATATATATATATATATATATAATACATATACAATTATATATAAATATATATATATATATATATATATATATATATATATATATATATATATATATATATATATATATACACACATACATATATACATATACACATATATATACACATACATATATACATATACATATATATACATATACATATATATATATATATATATACATATATATACATATACAGGCCTCAGCTAGAAGCGAGAGCTTTAGCTCTCGCTCTTGCCCTACACTCCCCTAAAACGGTTTACGGGAGCAATTTACGGCTCTCGCAAAAGTATAATTATTCTTATAAAAGTATAATTATTGTTGTAACTAGAATAAAGAATACAATGTCGAAAAATACAATGTATATAAAATATATTTATATATATTTAAAAAAATGTGAAAACGTATACCTTTTTTGAAGTCGGTTCAATTGGAAATACAGCTGTTTCTGAGAAAAATTAATAGTAAAATATGACATATGAATGATAGTCAAGAATTTTAGCAGGAGATTGGTCAAAACATTATACTCAGAAATAATTATTTTTATTAACAAAAAAGAATTAATTATCTTAAAACGGTTAAATTAAACGATCACAAATTATAAAACTATCTAGTTAATCATAATTTATCTATATATCATCTAGATAAAAAGTCTAGAATTATAGAATATCTAGTCTTCAAAGTTTCATTTGTAGCTAGTTCACCTAACAAATTAAAGCCTCTTCCATAAATTTATGGTTTTCCATCAACTGATACTTTGATGACCAGATATTTTTACAAAAATTGTAATTCGCTCTCTTAATTCAACCCTTGTATTACATTAAGGTCAATCAGTTAATAATATAAAATTGATTGAAGTAAGAAGTTTTTGAATAACATAAAATATATATAACATGATGAGCCTTGTTTACAGCAAATAAACCACATTGCAAATGGTTTCAAAGAAACATGGGATTTAATAAGACTAACCGCCAGACATGTAAGCCAATGATTCTTTTGCTGATGGTATAGTACTTTCATATTCAGATTCTAAATGCAACATTTATACATAATTAAATTGCACCCATTACAAAAAAGGGACGTATGTGGACGCATTTTTGCCAATAATGAGAAATTTAGACAGTAAAAACTCTGGAATATCATCCATGTTATCTTATTTAAAAACTTTGGCATATAAAATTCGCCGAATGGTCACACACGAGCAGTGAACGCCTGAGGGAAGAAATGAAGTACATTAGAATAAAGGAGAATTATTTATTAGACAAAGCATGTTTTGACAGTTGTCAAGACAAAAATAAAGATTAATAGAGGAATATTTAAAAATAAATAAGACAAGCTATACAACCAAAACAGTACTCAACCATAATAACAATAAAAAAAAAAATTAAAAACAAATAAAAACAAATAATAATAAAAATATATATATATATATATATATATATATATATAAATAAAAAAAAATAAAAAATAAAAAAATTGTTTTATAAATACCAATATGAACTAAAATATGCAAGAAATACATAACCAGTAAACAATTTGTAAAACAAAAAACCATTCAACAAATTAAAAATATGCTTACAACAATGAAAGGACTAATAATGGAAAAAAAAAACATTAATGCTAATGTGTAAACATAATTAGTGTAGTGATAAGTAATAAACATCTCCTCAGAATCGCGTCTATTATTACTGGCGTTTCGATGAGGATCAGCATTTATAACTAGTTTATCCCGTCAGACAAACGTCATCGCCACTTATGCTTTACCCCGCGACTTACGCCTATTCCATACTGCAGTAAAAAAGGACTCACTACAAATAGCCAAAACCCAACCAACTCCAAATTTGTAAAGCACCAATATTTTTTTTGATGATATGATATAAAAAGTATAGATTTACTGAACAAACAAAAATAAAAATAACTAAATAAAACACTTACCGTTCCACCAAAAGAAAACATGAAAACAAAATAAATTAAAATTCTAATAGAAACATAAAAATATTAATCAATTTATTTTGAGAAATAAAACCAAATAGGTATTTTTAGCATAAACAAGACCAAGATAATCAGAAAGCAGTATACCTCATTAAATTTTTTTTTTTTTTTTTTTTTTTTTTTTTTTTTTTTTTTTTTTTTTTTTTTTAATAAACAAAACAATACCCATAAAAATAATAATTAAATAAAAAACACAATGTTGTTTAAAAAGAATTAATTGCATAATCTACTGAAAAGCTTTTTAAAAGGCACGGTTGTTGCAAAAAATATTTATAATTAAAAAAATGTGAGAAGCAGCTCGCACAGCTCCCCAAGTTCGTTTTAGGAGAGCTTTTCTCCGCTCTCGTACTTGTTTATTCTCGCCGAGGTCTATATTATATATATGTATATATATAAATGTATATATATATATATATATATATACATATATATATATATATATATATATATATATATATATATATATATATATATATATATATATATATATATATATATATATATATATATATATATATATATATATATATATATATTTATACATATATATATATATATATATGAGCTTGAATATTTTAGTTTGCTGATAATTATATTAATGGAGAAGAATTGGTGCGTGTCTTTCCACATGAAGAAGTGAATGCATACAGAAAGAGAGTGTTACAGCTTCTATTAGATAAACGAGGTTTGTGAGATTCTTTAGAGCACTGAAAATGTTTACATTACTTCAATGTTAAATGATATCTTAAAATAAAGACAAAAAAAATGATGCAAAATTAAATCAATAGGTCAGAGAAGTTGGCAGAACATTTTGTGTCGAATTTGTGGTAGTGAAATTGGTCCAAAAACTAGAAAAAATAAAAAAATATATAAATGGGTAACAAAATATATTTTAATTATTTTTTAATAGAAATTTCGAATAGAAAAAAATACTTTAAATATTCAAATAGAAAAATGTACATTAAATATTTATTTTTAGATAAAATGTGATATTTGCATTCCGAATCGATGGTATCATATGGGATGCATTATTTTTAGAAATAAAACTTTATTTTGTTTTGGAAATAGTTATATATATAAATGTAACAATAAGTGAAACTTTACAAACTGCAGTTATTTCTCTTTCTTAAACATTTTTCGTAAATTGAAGCAATTTAAATGTTTATGCACTAAGAGATAAAAACAAAAATAGGTGAACTTTTTTTTTTTAGTTTCAGTGACTTCTTGTATAGTTAAAATACTTTAAGTTGTCGAAAGCCATACATTGATTGAACAACAATACATTTTTAATTTGTTAGCTCAATTAAACTCTAAAAAAAATGAAAAAAGACTGTTTGAGTAATCTCTGCATATTTTGCAATTAATAGCTAAAATTCTAAATTAAAATATCAAATCTCCTTATGCAGGCTTCTAGAATATTCCCCAAAATAACTAATACCATTTTGCAAAATATTTATATTTTCTTATTGGAGTAACACAAACCCCCAGTGTAAGCTCTATATATATCACATAAAAGAATCGAAAAACCAACTTAAAATATCACATCCTATGTTTACTTCAAAAATATTACATCCCCCTAAGTAATTCATATAATACTTTAACCGATTAGTATTTGGTATCTAAAATATCACATCCCCTCGGTTTATTCACTGTATATGTCACAAAAAGAAACTGGAATTCTTACTTAAATATCACATCCCCCCTATGCATACTTCTAAAATATTACATCCCCCTAAGTAATTCATATAATACTTCAATCAATTAGTATTTGGTATCTAGAATATCACATCCCCTCGGTTTATTCACTGTATATATCACAAAAAGAAACTGGAAATCTTACTTAAAATATCACATCCCCCCTACGTTTACTTCTAAAATATTACATCCCCTTAAGTAATTTATAAAGTATTTTAAACGATTAGTATTTGGTATCTAAAATATCACATTCCCTCGGTTTATTCACTGTATATGTCACAAAAAGAAACTGGAATTCTTACTTAAAATATCACATCCCCCTTATGCAGGCTTCTGAAAATATTACAAACGATTGGTATTTTATTACCTAAAGTTTTATATCCCTTATGTGTAACATTTTTTTTAGTATTGTCGTGCAATACATTACGATCAAAATTTTATAAATATGAATTTAAAATATATTACCATTTTATGCTAACTTCATTTATAGTATGTTAGTAAAAAAAAGTTTTTATGAATCTCGTTGCGTTTTTATTATATTGTTTATAATTAATGATTCGGACGTACTTGATACACTTCTAAGTGCAATGACTCGAAAGCGGATTTTCGTTTTCATTTTTTCTATGGGGGATGTGATATTTTAGGCAGATGTAATATTTTATTACAATGCTCACGTAATTATTTTTTCATTTCCTATCCCGTTCCCGTAGAAAAACGGATGAGTGGAAACTTTCTTCTAGTGCATGATATTTTTAATAAGATCTTTGAGATCTTCTTTTACAAAACAAGTTTATATTTTTAAGTTGTTATATTACGATTAATAATTGCAAATTTAAAAAAATATATATATAATTAATCTGTAAGTTATGAAACACACACACACGCACACACACACACAGATATATATATATATATATATATATATATATATATATATATATATATATATATATATATATATATATATATATATATATATATACATATTATTTTTGTACGGGTAACGTTAGCGTTTGAGTAATTTGCGATAACGGTAGTAACCAACGTACCCATCAACCAACCTAGTCCTAAATAATGTTAAATATTTATTATAATATTTTCATCATAATTTATGTACAGTGCAGAGTCACGAAACGTAAATGTGCCGATCCTCCTTACTTTAACTTTAATCCTAATCTAATTTCACATTGAAAGCAAACTAATTCTAATCGAGTCTACTATAGCAAAATAATGCATAATTTGTATAAACAAGGGGTTAGCAATCTTTTAAGACGAAAGAGCTAAAGTTTATAATTTATAAAAATTTTTCAGTTTTTAAATAGCTCCTGACATCTTGTTTTCAATATTATAATATTTGTGCACGGAGCTGAAGAGCCGCATTATGAAATCAATGTTATAATGCGAGTCCTGGTATAAACGTTTAAATAATATAATGTAGATTATGTACTTACATAAATCTTTATTATTTTTGCAGAAGGCCAACAAACACAAACTTTGAAAAAAGTAATAGTGTTACGAGTAAACATCTCGCTTGGGTTCATTTAGTTCTGCATGTGGCATGTATTTTTAAAGCACAATACAGTTTTAAAAAAGTACAAATATAGTTAGTGTCATTAAAATACGAACGGTTGGGTGAGCGTGTAACACAAAAATACAAACGCTGCCTATTTTTTTAAATGTTTACAGCAACCCGTAATAAATGTTCGCTATGTTTAAATCGTGTCACATGATAGAGCCGAAAATATTTATCCTCGAAAATATCACCGAAATATTTCACAACCGAAAATTTTAGAACCGAAAAGTATACTTTCATTGCAGGATCGAATTACAAAATCCTTTCTTGCGCCGAAAGTTTTTAAACCGAATTTTATAACCGAAAAAATTTGGATCGAATTACAAAATCCTTTCTTTTTTTAATCTATTTTTTTTTTTTTTTCAGTTTATCGTTTTACAATAAAATAAACAATTAAAATTTTTTTAAAATATATATACATATATCTTATACTGCTGAGTTAGGTGAGCATGATGATGTCATACTCACCTAACGTCAAATAGCCTGCTTCTGGGGGCTTCAGTACATACATCGACTGACAAATAGCCTGACTCGCAGTGGAGTGCTGCTACATCGACTGAGGGTTTGGTATGAATCAGCAACCTTTTCATTCATTATTCTTCGTTTTCCCTAATCGTTTTCTAAAAACGCTCACTTAATGGTAATTAATTATGTGTAACTTTCGGTTGTAAACCATTTTAATGAAATTCGGTTCTAAAATTATTAATGACTTTCGATCGAAAATTCGATTGAAATTTTTTTGGTTCTAATTTTTTTCGTAAATATTTTCGGTTGTGTAATTGAAATTAGAGATTCGGTTGAATCATAGGACGCCGTTCAAATTACCAAAAATTTTCAGACCCCCTCTCCCCTATATTGTTGACGTAATTAATGAACAGCTCCTTAAACACTTTATAAATTTGATCTAAAATGATGTGTCCAAATTAAGAACGT